GTAAAAACGTGGGTTAGTTTGTTTCTCGGGTGCATTATCTCTTTTTCACAAACAAGTCAGGAAGCAAAAGAAAGTCGATCCAACGCGCAGTGAAAGGTCTGACACAATCAGCACATACATAGAGTTCCTATCATAATATTCTCCTCTCTCTATGAGAGTGAGGCGGGCCAGGGGTGAAACTTTCGAGATTACTTTCATTTTGATTCGGAGGAGGAAATAATTCACTGCGAGATTCGATGTGGAAAAGGAGGCGACACACGTGAAACATGGACTACATTTTGCAATTAAGAACTATAAATTTCGGCCCGGTTTAAAAACAACACATGTGCCTTTAGTTTCCCTATGCACATAAGTGTTTATTTCAGATGAGTTAGAATTTATAGCTCCAAATTGCAAAATATAGTGCATATGTCGACAGAATTTTGAGCAGAGATTACTTCTCGACAACTGACGGAAATCTCTGGATCAAAGATTTAGTCCATGAGAAAAAGAAAGCTGAACTGATAGCAGGAATACAGCGGTGACGCCCAAAAAGTTTTTTACTGGCTTATTTCTTAGTGTGGATCCATTAGATATCAAAAACTTTTTGCCTCAAATACATTTTGGAAATAAATCGAAACTCGTGATGTTTGAACCGATGATTTTGACATTGTAATTATGGAATTCAATTGTGTTGATTCGAAAACACCAATTATTTTCACTGAACTAAGACCATGAATGAGACATCGATGAATGGCATGTTTTACAACGTTTCATTCGGGTAAGTTCAAAATTGCGGAGCGAACTCGGAAACGCTACTTACACGACGCAATGGCGGCCGCGGTGTAGTAAAAAGTATTCAGTATCTGAGCCAATCAAAAACTCCGAACACTGATCGTGTTTCATCTGATTCAGTCGAAGAGCGTGGCGCCGTTCGACCGATCAGAGAATTCTGGACGCACGTGAACAACGAAGAGGAAGGTCAGACGTAATTTTTATACGTAAAAAAAGAAAGAAAAAAAGTAAAAATCGATTAATTATAAACAAAAAGCTATATTACATGAATTAGCACAAAACTTTCAGCATATAAGGGTACTTAGAGTCCTCTCTAATCAAAAGGAGAATAAGTAAAAGTGCAATTTTGTTCTTGTGCTAATATAGTATTGTCAGCATAATTATGACTGATTTGTTCTTGTTTCAATAAAAAAGTTTTAAAATGACTCTAGAATGAACTTAAATTGACGCGACTTACGTTCAGGGGTTCATGAGTACCTGATACAAGATGCATTTAATTAACAATGGCATTGATAAATTTATCATTACATTCCCCATGAAAACTGTGAAAATATACCAACTAAGAGGAAAGCATTTGCAACAAAATGTTTACATATTGGTTATTCGCTATGATTTATAGGGGCCATAAAAGAAAAAGAGGAAAGGAAAAGGAAAATCGGGCGTCGGTTGTATTATCAAGATGAAAGTGAAGCTCCTCGTATGAATAAGGCCATTTAAAGTTTCTTCGTAAACCTGCATTCAAATTAGGTCAGGCAACTCGCTAAAATCCATTAAGGCAACTTATAAACAAGTTTCGGAATATGTGTCCCAATAAATTTTTAAGGAACGGAAAGTTATTTTCTTTTTTTTCTTTCTTCTGTGTCTTTGCACGACGTTAACTGCACGACTTCACAGCATTAGGTACCCTGCTTTTTTGGAGTGGTTCCAAAAACTCGGTGGGATACGTATAAAAGTCTGTTGCACTGTGTATTCAATAACCGCAGTTTTATAATAGTTGTAAATTGCTGTCAACAAGTTGTTTTTGCTGTCTTAAATAATTAAATCATTCGTATTCAGTTGAAATGAGTGCACCTCTGAGTCAAGTTTTAATTTGTTTATTATTAATTTAAGGGGAGTCAGTTGTGCCGATCCCCGCGATGTAAAAATCAAACCACTTCGTGTACGCTGTGAATCTTTAGAGATCGTGTACAAGATTTACTGAGCGGATTTTCAATTTTTTCTTTCATTTTCTTTTGCCTTTTACAGAATAAGAACATCTCGCTAAAAATAAAGAAATCCATTTTATTTGATCCATATGAAAATATTTGACCCATTTTATTTTTTGAAGGGTTAAATGACCCATTTTTTCAGAATTCGTGCGCATTTTTTCTTACTCTCTGCAGAGTATTACGAAGTAAAGGAATATTCTGTGAAAATTCCGAAGAAGTCCATTCTTTTTTCTTAAAAAACCAAGCGACAGCGAGGATTCTGAACCGTTGCAATTAAAATAAATGTTCCCAGCCAAAGAGGGCGTCTAATTAGTTGGATTATGAGGGTCGTAGGAAAGACGAAATGCGTAAAGAAGATTCATGCATGTACAGTACGTGGGTTTCTATTTATCATTGTGCAACACAAGTTAATGCACGCGCATACTATTGCGCCTTCATTTTCGTCTGATACTGTGCAACACTTCGGTGCTGTGAAAGTTGCTTGAAGCGATGTGATCAATCTTGCTTGATATTGATGGCATTGATTTATTCTTTTTGCTGGAATAGCAACAAGGAGGATGTTTAAAACAAACCTTTCCACCACCAACGGTGAAATTATAAGCCACATAGGTGCCTATCCGAAACAACACTCCGCTGTTTTTTTCTTTATTTTCTACTTCCTCTTCCCTCAACTACATTTTGTGCAGAGAAACAAACCAGATTGATTAGATTTGAGCCCGTTAAAGCATTAAGTTATAGGGACGACAGGGTCCATCGCCAAGTGTAGTTACGCCATTACGCCAGCGTCTGGATAGTTGAATCGTTGTTGAATGAACTGATCGATAATTTCCTATCTTTGGAATGCAATTTATCGATTCGGGTTATTCGATAACGATTCAGTGCTCGACCCGCAGGGGCCAACGAAATTATGTCTCTGTAATTTTATGCTTTTTGAGGTTGAAAGCTCATGAAATTCGCTTTCCCACGCAGATCGTGAAGTAAGGGTGTATTTCCGACTTCGCCATTGGGCTCGCCGTGATTTTGAGCAAAATAAAATTCCTTCGGAAAAATCCCTTGCTTTTGCTCGAGCTGAAGTATGCGACAGAGCCATTCTTATACGGCGCCTTTAATTGGCAGAGAAAATAACCCGTGGGGATTCCGTTCGTAAACAAATAAAATCATCCCAGACATTTACGACGTCGTAAATCCGGTACCATTATTTTCGGTCCCATCTGGGAAATACGATTTCGAAAGTCGACTTGAAAACGCTGAATTTGCGCGGGGTGCATCGGGTACGTATTCCTAGCAAAGGTCGGACTTCCCGGAATTATTTAGTCAAAGCGTGAGTTTAAATAAATAACCAGTTCAAGTGCGGTTTACGCTGCCGCCTCTCGCGCCTCCACCCTACCAGCAACGTTGTCGAATCGCTCGGAAATTCGGTTTATTTGATGCCAGTAGTTGAGAGAAAATTTGGAATGTCCTGCCGTGTTGGCGTCGCTGCTTGGGGTGGAAATCAGTGTTGCAGACTTCCGTTTAAAAAACCGCTTTTTATGTTGTAATTTACGGAAAAATTGCAATTTCTCGGCGAATAGGCAACGCTGCACACGTTCTCATCCCACCTCCAACGTGATGAGCACGAGATGGACGGGAATCCAACGAGAAGTGTAACGAGCATGGCGCCGAGACCGCGACTGCCATTATCAAACAAAGTTGCCGATTCTTCATTAAAAAAGTGAAAATGGGGGAGGGGGTGGCTATTCAATTTTTTTATTTTATCCATTTATTTTTGTCCACTTATATTGTTGAAAATTAATGTCTGCCCCCACATGAAATATATGCCCCAGCTGAGTGGACCACAAGACCAGGGTCGGATTTAGGGGGTGGCCACATGAGCTGTGGCCCATGGCGGCAAATTGGAGGGGGGGGGGCAAATTTTGCAATTGTTTTAAAAGTTTATCTATAGGTATATTAAAAAAATTGGCCAGAAAAAAAATTACAAACGAGAAAAGGCGATAAAATCTCTCATTTCATGAGAGTATAGTTTTTCCTGATTTTATCGTCTTTCGGTGATACAAGAGACAGCACCTTTAAGTAGTCGAGTGAAGAGAGGAACGAAACACGCAATTTGGCCTGGAACGGCGCGGCGCAGAGAGCAATGATGACGAGGACTTGAGATGAAAAGGAGAAACCCTCAGCGCGGCGGTCGGCATGTAACACATATTAGCGCCTACAAGACTTCATGAAAACTTCACGCATTGCGTCAAACACAGAGCCGTCGTCGCGTCGGCGTGAAATGCATAGCGCCTGCAAGACTGCATGAATACTTCACGCACGGCGCCAAACACAGTGCGCACGCGGTCAGCACGGCGTTGCGGTGGCTTAATTAAAATTATTAAACCACATTTATGTTCGTTTTTGCAAAATTTTTTCGCTCATTTCTTATAAATGGATGACCTTGTCCGTAGTTGACAAGGCTTCCGCATGAACTTGTCCGACACGAATAAACGCGTCTCATGCACCTCTCTCCTTCCGGCACGTTCACTTGATGGTTTTTATTGATGTTTCAAAACGAATGAGAAGGGGGCGGCAAAATACATGCGGCCCATGGGCGGCAAAATACATGCGGCCCATAGGCGGAAAAATACATGCAGCCCGTGGGCGGCAAGGAGGTAAATCCGGCCCTGCCGGTATTAGCTACTACTGCCCTTACGGTATAGTATATATATAAAAAAACAGAATCAAAATTTGAAAATTTGAGAATAGCCTTTTCATTTAAAGATTTTAACCTTCAGTTGCTAAAAATGTATGGAGCTTGTTCCAGTAAATATGAAGGTAGAACTCTATGAGAGGAGGGAGAGAAAACGCGTGTAGAAAAGAGAAAATCGAGAAACGAAGAGCTTAAAGTAATGGACTTGAATTCCTGGCGCCTTACCGCATTCCACCGATGAAGAGCCTCAGCAAAATCGTGAAGTGCGGCTGTGGGAAATTAGTTTTTTCTTTTTAACGGAAACGGAAGGGTGTGTGCAAGGCGGGTCTTACCTTAAGCGCCTCTTCGTGGGATATGCTCGTAAAAGGTGTTCCATTCACTTCAAGAATTGAGTCGCCTGGCCGGAGTCCAGCTCTTTCTGCCACGCTTCCCTCCTCCACCCGTGAAATGTAAACGCCTACTCCTGTAAACATAGTTCGGAGAATTGAGAGGACAGTTGGAATTGAGTTCGAGAGCAAAATATAAACTAGATCACACTATCAAAAAGCATACCGGGAGCAGACTCGATGGGATTGAGGCTCCGCTGTATTCTGTATTCGGATCGAAACAAACAGGAGGCAGTAACTCACTTTGACCTAGTTCGGAGAAATGAGGCTCTCTAGTTTGAAAATCAAGAGTCTGGGACACAGAAACGAGAAAATGTGCCTCGTAGCTGCGATATCTTGCCGCTGCCTAGCCACATGAGATAGCAGTAAGTAAATTCTGGTGCGAGATTTGAATTTTATGAGGGTACGAGGGTACGTGCCAATGGCGGGTCTGTTGCATGCAAGAGATACATCTAAATCATGCTCTTAACGGATAAAATCGCACGAAAATCACGTTGGGCAATCAAAAAAGTCTGCAATCCATTCCTTAGCGCGCATCTGCGTAGTTTATGACGCGTTTTTTCAAGTTTCCCGCGCCTGCGGGCTGTTTTTCATATTGGCACCGCTGACCGGCTAGTTCGCAAAGGCAGAGAGGTATTCTGCCGTGCTAAGGAAGAACGCCTTATAAACATTCGAGAGTTGCCAAATTTCCCGTGATAAAAAATGTATTTTTGACAAAATTCATGCATATTTTTCCATACAATTTTCAGTAATTTTGGATTAAATTACGTACGAAATCGTCCGAAAATCTTGGAAAAAAATATTCACAATTTTCCCTGTAAATTCGGTTTTTATCGAAGGAAATTCGGTAACGCCTGAAGGTTCATACGGCGTTCTTCCTTAGCACGGCAGTATTGACTGGAGTGGTTTTTCGTCCACGTTCAAATAATTAAGGAGTTTCTTGATGACAAGTCAAGAGGAACGAGGGTATGCCCTTTCCCTGTTTAAGCACCTTTAGACAAAACGCTCAGTCGCGATGGTTTCGTTTTAGTCTTGGCGAAAATTTGCCCATTGAGAAAGGAAGGCCACTAAGAATCAAACGTTGTTGAGCTAGAACTCGCCTCGGGAAAAATTTGACCAGTGAGAATGAAATATTGCAGAATGGGCCTGTTGCAAACTTTTGCTAGAGCAAAAATAAGAGTTGTTTCTTGTAGATAATGCCTCAAAAATCACGATGAGCGCATTGGCAAAGTCTGAAATGCACTCATAACTTCACAATCTGCGTAAGAAATTTGCGTTTTTTTAAGCTTCCCGCTTCAAAAACGATACTACGGCGTAGGTGAACATTTTGTTAGAGGAGTCGCTCCATCGTCGGGGATATTCATCATGGCCGACGCTTCCACGCAGTTCCGCGCGTAATTCAAGGAGAGTTCAAGGTCAATCCATTCGGGCGTGGAAAATATGAACGTCAACACACCGATTGTTATCTGGTCTAATCCAGTTCAGGTGTTATCTCGTCCCATCAAACGTGTTTTGGCGGATTGGCGTCGGCTATGATGATTATTGCCGACGATGGAACGACTCCTCTTACAAAATGTTCACCTGTGCCGTAGTATCGTTTTTGAAGCGGGAAGCTCAAAAAACCGCAAATTTCTTACGCAGATTGTGAAGTTATGAGTGCATTTCAGAGTTTGCCGATGCGCTCATCGTGATTTTCGAGGCATTATCTATAAGAAACAACTCTTAGTTTTGCTCTAGCAAAAGTTTGCAACAGGCCCATTGGAACGATTCTGTATCAAACGTCCCGCCAAGCACGCTCTGACTTTACAAAGTTCAATAAATCCCGGGTTCAAATTCCGGTGGGGGCAACAAATTTTCACGTAAGTGACGAATGGATCTGTGGGAACAGACCCCACTCGGCCTTCATCCCTGAAAAATTTGAAAAAGCCTAGAGCATGGATTTGCCGATATATCTTGATGTCTACAGACAATAAAGAGGGTCTATAAGTGGCTACAAGTTCCTAACAGAATATAAGTCAATAAATCGACAGGAGAAAAATGCGACTGAGAGTTTTGTCGATCTTGGGTGGTCTGAATTACATACCTTCATTCCACTTACCATGTCTAGATGACTATTTTAACACCGCTTAAGAAATTGCATAATTGACTCTTTGATGGCGATTTTACGGTGAGATGAGGGGAGCGGAAGCCATAGATAGAATAATTATGAAAAGGAATCCGAAGGAATGAAATAATTAGAGTGATTGCCATTGTTCATATTGAAAGTCATTTCAATTGTTTCTTTTGCTTCAGTACTAATTGTTCACGCGCAGTTTGGTCCGAATAAGATACCGCGAATTAACAATGTTGAGATCAACGGGACAGTGATTCAAAGTTGTTGGGTGCAACTAGCAATGAGATGAAGTGTGATGGGGACTTTTTTAGAGACCTGAATACATAGATGACCGAAGTGCGCAACCGCAATGTACTTTCATCGTGGTCATTCAAAATTACCGCTCCCAGTTCATTTTTTCAGAGAGAAACGAGACAACTGTGTAGCTTGAAATTTTAACAGGATATTCTGCTAATCGAAAAGAAAAATCAAGGTAGTTTTCAAGAAATTGTGCCGGCTAATTTTCCAGAGAAAAATCGTTTTATTCTCCGACAGGAAGTCAGGAAGTCTGCAATGTTGCAAACAAAGATACGTAATTTTGCATGCACTTTTGCCATCGATATACAACCGTGCTAAGGAAGAACGCCTTATGAGCCCTCAGACGCTGCCAAGTTTCCTCCGATAAAAACCGAAATTACTATGAAAATTGTGAATATTACTTCCTCAAATTTTCAGACAATTTTGGACACAATTTAATCAAAAATATCTGACAATTTCAAGGGAAAATATGCAAGAATGTTATCAAAATTGCATGTTTTTTTCAAGGGAAATTTGACAACTCCCGAATGTTCATACGGCGTTTTACCTTAGCACGGCAGTCTACTCGGAGCTCTTACTCCTAGCGAGATAGGCAATGTGTTTTACTCGTAGGTGAATTTGACTTCGTAGGATCGCACGCTATGCATATTTAAAAGGAGTTTCCTTGTCTGTTGGAGGATTGCACACATCGCAAGATATGGCTCCGCTTACTGCTCTGTTTCACATACCCGAGGAAATCATATTTTCGTGATCTTTATTTGTAAAATAGTGTTTCAGAGAAAGAAAGAAACGAAAGTAGGTATGCTAAACCCGATTTTAAACGAGCTTCGACCCAAGTCTAAAAATTACCATACCTACTCCAAGACTAAGCTGGATTCCTACGATTGTTGTTAGAAGTTCCCTACCAGTATCATTTTGATGGATTCAATCAGAATCAGCCTTACTACATTTCATGTTGTCTAAATTCCTCTCATGTTTTAAGAGTTTATCAGAAAAATAAACAACACATCGCCTTGGAAAATTCTGAGAATTTTCTTAAATTTTGATCGGTTCTCTGCGAAAAAGATAAAACGTGATAAGAAATTAGTAATTTGATGTGGTTGGACTGACTCTGGTTGAATCAGAACTGGACTACATTTTGCAATTAGGAACTATTATGTCTGGCTCAGTTTAGAAACAACGCATGTAGCATCAGTTTCCTTATGCACATAAGTGTTTTTACAGATGAGCCAGAAATTATAGTTCCGAATTGCAAAATGCAGTCCAACTGGTCTGTTTGTTACTCTGATTAAACTAGAATTATAGGTACACATTTTTAAGAGCAGCCCGAGACAATGATAACAGTGGAATGAAACAAGGAGGAAAAACTTTTTTTTAAACATTTTACGTAAATTTTTAATAAGAAGTTTAAAGTAAGTAAAAGTAAAGTAAAGTCTAAATTTTTTAACGTCTTCGTTTTCTTTAAATTTTTATTGTTTCCGACTGAAAATGACTCAGTTTTGAGTCGAAACGTCTCGGGTTTTGTTAATTGTGTATTTTTAGCCTTGTTTCCCGTTTTTCCTCTTTGTTTTTTTCCGCTAATAAACTAGAATTAGTAACAATGGAGTAGAACTCAGCCTGATCGGCGCAACAAGCGAGGAACGGGAAAATATTTTGCCCGACCGAAGATGGGTGCGAGACAACTAAAGCAGTTGTTGCATGAAAATAGTGGGTTAAGCACCTTTTGAAATGGCATCAAAGAGACCAGAGGGAGGAGCGGTGCATACGTCGTCGCTCGCCTGACAAGAGGGCGTAACCACGATGAGAAATGAGCTCGGGAAAGCATTGACGTAAATAGATGACAGAGCTCATCGCCTTAGTGCAGTTACGTCCTTATGTCAGGAGGGCGAGGACTTGAGGGCCTCGTCTGATTCATAGTCTGTGCAAAAGAACAAGAAAAGGACGAGAGAGGAAGGGAGAGAGGCCTGATGGTAAAACCGACAGAAGAATGGCTTTCACACTACTCGACCTAATTATGGCGAAATTATTTTGTTTTGTCTGGGGATGAGGTTCCTTTCATTAGCGTGTGTGATCCCGTGGCTTTGCTCTCAAGTGCACTCATTCCATGATTTCCCATTGCTGGACCGGCTCTGGAGTGGAGTGACAGTGGGGCTCTTCGGATGACAGATTCTTCAAGAGTCGAGGATGACGTAATTAGTGCGGCCGTTAATGCAGCGATTAAGGTAAGTCGTCAAGTGAGCATTGGTCTACGGTCTCGTGTTTCGTTCCGTTGACAAACACATCTGTAAATCAACTGTTGAATCCGGCGGGCCACCGCATAAAAATCTGTTGAATCTCGGGGTGGACAAGGGAGCTCGGGTAAAATTAATGCCGGGGTAGATCGGTATCACGGGTTTTGCCCATTAAATTTCAGAGACTACTGGCACGATTGCGGACTTCAATTCGCGATTGTACAAAAATGGGTCGTTCACGAAACACTCGTGGCGTGCGGCAGTTTTTTTCTCCGTTTCCCTTGACGGGCCGTTCCTCCCACTTCCACGATTCTTTTGAGGCGTTTGTGAGGCAGTCATGCACTCCCCTCCCTTCCATGCCTTACGTAATAAATGGATTGACCCAAACTGTTTTTTTATACCTTCAAAATTTCCGACTAGATTGAGACGGAATCCT